CCCTAGACTCCAGGACCAGATTTTTAAATGTGGCAGTTAGTTTTGGGCCTTAGTTTTTACCATTTTTTTTTTTCGTTTTGAGACGTCCTTGAAGTGTGTTGGGCAAAACATCATCATGTTTTTCTTTGACTTTGACAGTTGCTAGGCACTTACTGATACTAGTCAGTTTTTCATTAAGTAAAAATTATCTGGTTTGCTCATTCATGAGTTTTTCTCTAATAGTATAAACTGAAATCATGAATTTTGTTGACCCTGCTTCTTGCCCTTCCCTTCCTTTTGAGACGTCCTTGAAGTGTGTTGAGCAAAACATCATCATGTTTTTCTTTGGCTTTGACGGTTGCTAGGCACTTACTGATACTAGTCAGTTTTTCATTAAGTAAAAAATTATCTGGTTTGCTCATTCATGAGTTTTTCTCTAATAGTATAAACTGAAATCATGAATTTTGTTGACCCTGCTTCTTGCCCTTCCCCATTCCAATCCGTTTTCCCTCCCTAGTTTCTTTCTGAGATGGGTGTTTTGCTACATAGCTTTAGCTGATTTGGACTTTTGTGCTCATGTATGTATTCTGTCTCATTCTCTGATGCAGCTGTAACTGTACACACATGTCAACATGACTCATTACAATGAGTTCTTTCTGAAGCACATGTCGCCTTTATACTTACTTTATTCACATGTGACATTACTTAAAAAATTTTAAAGCTGGGCGTGGTGGTGCACACCTTTAATCCCAGCACTTTTGGGGCAGAGGCAGGTGATTTCCTGTGACTTCAAGGCCTGCCTTGTCTACATAGTGAGTTCCAGGTCAGTTGGGGCTACAGGGAGACCTTGTCTCTAAAAGACTGAAGAAAAGGTGTTTTTTTAAAAGTACTCTCTTAGGCTCTTTAAATATTAACCATGTATCCTATTTGTTATTTGGTTAAAATTTTGCTTGAGGGGCTGGAAATTTGGCTCATAATAACTCTGGCTGCTCTAACAGAGGACCTGGATTCAATTCTCAACACCCACTTGGGAGCTAACAATCATCAATAACTCAGGTTCCATGGAGTCCAGTGCCCTCTTGAGCTCCAAGGGCATTGCACAACACAGGTGCACTTACATACATGCAGGGAATACATTCATACACATAAAATTAGTAAGTAAAATATATTTTTTACAATTGTGCTTGAGTAAACTACTGATAGTGTATACATTACTTCTGTAAGCACAGAAAATGGGCTCATTTCTCCATTTAACAACTCATGACAGCATGTGTGAATTTTTGCCCACCAGGGAAGCTCACTGCACTCAGTGCCTCTTACTCTTTGAGGGCACAGGGCTGATCCTCTAGTTATCTCTGTGAGTTTTGAATATATTAATAGACTTTCTGAATGAGAACCATTCATAATGTACCATAATGTACCATATGAAGTATTTATGTAGGCAATTTCTCATTTCTGTTCATGCCAACTGTACCAATTTAAAATTTTCTCACACTGTCAAATCTGAAGTATGTGAGCAGGAATTTCTAAGGGCAAGCAGGCTCTTGCATGCTAATTTACCTCTGTTCTATATGTCAGGGGGTCAGACTTTCTGAAGACAGGAAGTAGACATGCGCTGTAGAAAGAGAATTGGGGCAGAGCAGCAGCCCTGTGCCCTGTGCACAGTAGTGAGAGGAGTGTCCCTCCAGCGGTCTGTCCTTCAGAACCACCTAACGCTTGCATTAGAACTTCTGTGTCATCGAATGAAATGTGTGGATAGCACAGAATTGTGTGAACCTATTGTCAATTGAGTCTGTGGAATGTTTAGGATTCTGTGTCATTTGAGGATGTTGTTGTGAACTTCACCCAGGAAGAGTGGGCTTTGCTGGATCCTTCTCAGAAGAATCTCTACAGAGATGTGATGCTGGAAACCTGCAGGAACCTCACTTTTATAGGTTAGAATATCATCTTACCTTCCTTAGTATATTTGGAATATTGAAAGGGAAGAATGTTATATAAATCTGGCATGAT